TGTGATACAATAGTGAATAATTGTTATCAGGACTGATTGTGAGGGTTGGAAATGTAAAGGTAGACATTTTATAGCAAGGAGGGGAGTGATTAACTTTCCTTCTAGGAGTGGAGGTCCCTGGGACCATCAACAGAGAAGAGTGGAGAGCGGGACCCTACTCAGAGAAGCAGTGATGCCTGCGATGGAGCAGCTGGGGACTTTAGATCCAGAGAGGGAGAGTGACTGTGTGCTGAAGACTGGGGCGGGGAAGGGGGGCGGTTATGGGGGGCAGGCTTGCAGGGTCTACCTTTTGGTTGGTTGATGATGCTTAGAGGGGATTGTAACCATGGCAATGAAATGATATATGATAGAATGAATATAAAACTAATGTTCTCCCATGTAAACTGTCATATAATTCACAATAAAACATTAAAAAAAAGGAAATGGTTAATGTTCAACCGTTTCAAGAGGTAGCATATGATCAAGTGCTAGTGATACTCAGGGAGGCAGTCCAAAGGGCATTGAAGGAATTGACAAAGAACAAGGCACCAGGAATAGAGGGAATAAAAATTGAAATCTTTCAAGAAAGTGAGGCAGCACAGGAGGCACTCACTCATCTCTGCCAAGAAATCTGGAAGACAACTATCTGGGTGACTGATAGGAAGAGATCCAAATTTGTGCCCATTCCAAAGAGAAGTGACTCAACAGAATGCAGAAATAATTGGACAATCTCTTTGATATCTCAAGCCAGTAAATTTTTGCTAAAGGTAATACATAAACAGCTACAATCATACATTAACAGAGAACTCCAGAGGTCCAAGCTGGATTCAGAAGAGGCCGTGGAACGAGAGATATCATTGCTCATGTCCGATGGATCTTGGCTGAAAGCAGAGAATATCAGAAAGATGTTTACTTGTGCTTTATTGACTACGCAATAATTTTTTTGATAGTGTGGATCATGACAAGCTATGGACAACATTGTGAAGTGTGAGTATTCTAGAACACTTCATTGTACTCACATGAAATCTGTACCTGGACCAAGAAGCAGTTGTTCGAACAGAACATGGGAACACTGAATGTTTTAAAATTAAGAAAGGTGTACGACAATGTTGTATTCTTTCACCATACTTATTCAACCTGTATGCTGAGCAAATAATATGAGAAGCTGGGTTCTATGAAGAAAAACGTGGCATCA